AAAACAATAGCTTTCTGCCAGAGTTTACAATTTTGCTGTCACTAAAAGGGTTTCTCCCATGAGAACATCAAATAACAATGTAAGCTGGAATAAAATTACTGTCCTTATAGGCAGTATGGATGGCATGCTAAAGTTGTTTTGAAGTGAGTGGAATGCCTCGCTGGAGATCTGGGTGGTTTTCATGAAGAGTGCAGGATTTTATATCCGCCGAAGAGGTTTGGAAAGTCCCAGGAAAGGAGGAAAACTCGGGTAGGGGAGGCTGAGAGCCTGCTGGATGTAAGTTGAGGACAGAAAACATGTCAGGACAGGAACAGAACACAAAGTGGCAGGAGCCCCCGAGGTGACAGCTGCCAGTGCCCACTATGAAATTAGGACTCCAGTTTATATATAGTCAAGCAACTTCCAAATTTTAAGGGATGAAAAAAAAATGTTTTAGGAAGACTAATTTGGTGATAATGTTCAGGGAAACTAATTAGGAGACTACTAAAGAATATGCAATTAAGAAATAAATAAAAAAGATTTTTAAAAAGACATAATGAGATGCAAATGAACCAATTTACGCTCTTATTGTTAAAGCATCTCTCAGATTTTGTGAGGGGGTGTCCAGAATGTAAGAGAACCTTTTCAGGAATAGAACAGAGTCCTGGAGGAGCCACTTTTAGAAGAAACAGGATAAATTTGCTTTGTATATATTTGCTTTAGGGACAGTCAGAATGAAGTGCCTTAAAAGGAAATAGAGATGTAAAAGTTTACTCTTTTTATTATTGCTGTTGTTATTGATATTATTTGGATAGTGATGATGGAACCTCATTGGTACAAGCCTCAAGTTTAAAATCCCATTAACCTTGATTAGATCCTGACCCTTCAGTCATGGAAAGCCTTTGCTGAGATTGGAAGGCAGTTGGGGGGGGGGGGGAGTGCGGGGGGACTGGGAAGAGGTGTCACCACATCCTAATAATGGTTTTTATAAGGTGAGTGCTGATGAGATAAGTGGCTGCTATGAGAAGCTCTAAGTGACATCCAATAAGATGTGTCGTCACTTTGCCCATATCTTGGTTTGTTCGGGGCTGAGGAAACTGACACATACTAAACAAACAGGAGACTGAAGTCTAATTTATGAGCAATAAACCTTTCTCTCATACAGTTCTCTCTCTAGTCCAACTAGTCATTAGAAAGTGGCTTGGGGAACATGGCAAAGGAAATAGATAAAAGTGAGGGGTATTTCATCTGGCCCATGTGAAGGCTGATGTGACATCCCTGCCTACCAAGAGCATTAGTCTCTGCTTAGTGAGATATTCACGCCACCACACTTGATGTCTTTCTCACCTAGATGTTATGAGATGAACTTAAAAAAAATGTTTTTCTTTGCTATGCTCTAGTTCATTAGTCCCCCAAATGCCATATACTGCCTGGGGAGCATGGGGGCCTTGTTTAATTTATAGTCAGGTGCCCTATCCCCAGAGATTCTGCCTCAGGTTGCCCACCGTGAGGCCGGGGAGCCCAGATCGCTGGCAAGCCACCAGGGGTTCCGAGGCCACACTGAATGACTTTGAACCAATCTGATCTGACCCGCAGGTAGGGTTCCAAGCCCACCACGCCTACTGTAGCACAAACAGCTCTACATGGGCCAATTGTGTTTGTTTTTTCTTCTGCCAAAGATTTGTTTGACTATAGATAATCAGCACCTTAACAAGAATTGCTAAATTATTTATATAATTTAATCTTGACCTTCTGATTAACACTGTTTGTCTTTGACAAGGTCATAAAGCAATGGTGTGGAAGCCCATCATAACAGTATAATCACATTTACTCATTCACCAAGTATTTATTGATCATCTTCTATGTGCCAGGCACTGTGCTCGATACCAGAGATCCAAGAGAGAGCAAGACACATAACACCTCTTCAGTCATATTCTAGTGCAAGTGAGGTGGAGTGGAGTAGGAAAAAACAACACAGAGTGAATGAAAGGATTTCTTTTTTTTTTATCCTCACCCGAGGACATTTTTCCATTTTTTTGTTCAGATAGAATGGGAGGGAGAGAGAGAGAAACATTGACGTGAAAGGGACACATCGAGTGGCTGCCACCCACACAACCAACCAGGGCCGGGGACAAACTGCAACCGAGGTACGTGCCCTTAGTGGGAACCAAACCCGGGTCTCTCTGGACCGCAGGCGGACGCTCTAACCGCTGAGCCAAACTGGCCAGGGCTGAAAGGGTTTCCTTTTGATAAGTGCCATGAGGAAGGAAGCAGGGCTCTGTGGGAGAAATCTCAGAGGGGAACACAATTTAGACAAAGTGGCCAGGAAACACCTCCTTACAGAGGTGACTTTCTGAGACACGGGAAAAAGAACCAGAATTTCTGGCTGCTAGGAACTTGGGTGACATGATGAAAAGTGCTCATAGGATTGCAAGACCAGAAGTAACGATGAGCTGGATGGTTAGACGCCGGCAGTCCGAGAGATCCTGGCGGTATGCAGGCTCTGGCGATGGCAAGGTCTGTGTGAAGCTGAGAGCACTTCTATTAAGGGGGGGGGGGGTCAGAGTCACCGTGCAGACTGACAATAGTGGGGGTGAAGAAGCAAACTCTGAGCTAGGAGCCAAAGTCTTGCGAGCATGAAGTGGAAAAGCCAACGGTAAAGGCAGGTGGCATGTGAGGAGGGGTGGAGGAGGGTTCGGTAGGACACACGGGCAGCAGGAGGTTTTGCCAGAGGAACTCTGTGGGAAACAGCAGACAGAGTAGAAGGGAACAGCCTCTGATCGTCCAGCCGGAGGAGCAAGTGGTTTGAGAAGCGAAGTTCATCATCTTGAGAAAGTGCAAGGAGAGCAGAGTCTTGGGGGCCAGCCAGGTTTCATTTAGAGAAAGTCATGAGGAACGAACATTCCAGAAGTCCCTGGAGATCAAAGGGAGTTTGATGACCACAAGCAGAAGGTCCAGAGGGCACAATGGGAGGTTGATGTTTTGTCTTTGTTACTGTGGCAGGGAGAGAACTAATTAGAGCATATACAGGACCACACAAATTACAGTCTGGATAATAATGGGAAATACTACTACTATTAAAACAATAATAATAGCAGTTATTATTTATAGTCATAGCAGTTGAAGAAATATTGTGGCATTTTTATTTCAAGCCTGGGCTGAGTAATGCCCATGCAGTCTACCAATAACCCCATGATCTTTCAAACCTCAAGCCAAATTTTCTATTATCTGTGAAAACATTCTGGACCACAATTCACTGGTCAGAGTAAAGAGGGATTCTGACTTTTGAAGTCCTCCTGCAGTCTCTGAGAAGACAGCAGACAAGTAGTTTTGGAGTTAAACATTCTGGCAGCTGTTTTATGCGGTTATACACGTTGGTATATGGTGATCAGGGGTTACTCACATCATCTTGCACCAGAAAGAAGCACCCCCTTAACGTTCAGCTAGTGAAAGGACCATGATGCTTGAAGGTGGCTCCCATCCACTGTGCTTCATTCCTCAGCTCTTTCGTTCAATATGCTAGAAAATTCCTAATCATCTTTAAACACCTAAGTCCCTTGATTCTTTCCTTTGTTCATTGAACAGATATTCTACAGCAATTGCTGTAGGTTATAGAATATTTTCATATGGGGATACAATGGTAAATATTATATCTATATCAGCTCACCTAGGCAATTTTCCCCTACACTCCCCTCACCTTTTGGCTGGTGGCCCCATGCATTACTCTGCAGCACATCATTTAAACTCATTAATTTTTCCAGTAACATGCTGACAACCTTAGATGTATGTGTATCTCCAATCCAGTCTTCTCCTCAATCATTTTTTTCAATAATTTTATTTTCAACTCTAAGTGAGATCATGCTACATTTCTGCTCTCCAAAGGCGACCTAGTCTACCAGAGTAGAAGGCAAAGACCTTACAACTTCAGTCCCTAGAGGAGAATGCCACCTCGTGAATCCTTTATTCCATGCCTTTCTTTACCCAGTCACTGTGAAAGTTGTAGGCAGATCAAGAGTAGATGGTAGATGGGCTGACTCATCCCACTGACAAGAGAATTAATTTCTAATCCTATTTTTGATGCAATTTCATGTAGGACATCAAATATACTTTTCTGGATTCCCTAGTTATTCTTCATTTGGGAAAGAGGGAAGGTCTCATACATGAATAAAATTGTGTGATGGTGTAACTATAGTTCTTAAATTATTGTGATCAATGAATTTATAAAAATAAAACATTTTCCAATGAGAAAAAATACTTTGTGGAAGTACTTGGAAAACTAAAATGGTTATCAGGATTTTATAATTAGACTTGTTAATATTTTAAGTTTTAATTTATGACTTTGAACTGTTATTACGGAATGCCCCCAAAACAGCAACAAAAATATTCATCCAAATACAGCTACATTTCATGTCTACATTCAGGTCGACTAATAAATCAGTGCAAGAAATCAGTACATTCCTTACTAGCTCAAGAATCATTGACCTAAAGAATGATTGAACAAAGGCAAAGCTAAAATAAATATTCAGGGCCCTTTCATGTTCATCTTGTAGATACCTTTATTTTTTTATTTTTTATTTTTTGGCATTTTGTAAGGTTATGTAATTGATAACCATAGATGCAAAAATAGTACAAAACAATAACGAACCTACTATGGACATAGATTCAAATCAATAACTAAGTTTTATTCCAATAATGTTTATAAAATTGAGCATGAGAAAACCTATTAGTGTAAGGCAGCACATTAGCATTAAATGAATAATAACATATAAGTAACCCGAATGTATATATATATGCTATAATGTGAAGCTTTGGATCAAAATGATGCATGCATACTATTTTTTATTGTTGTGTTTTCTCTAAAGAAGCTTACTACAGAATGTACATTTGGCTTTGATCATTGTTCTGCCAGTTTATATGTGATGTGCTCTCCCTGACAGTATTTTAACCAAATATGTTAACTTTCTTATCAATATACCCACATTTGCGAATGTGTTTTCAACATTTCTTCTCTATTTTAACAGAACCCGACGTTCCACATGCCTGAGGATCCCAACGAAAAAAAGGAAAATCTTCTACTTAACTCTGAGAGATCTAGTAGGGTCTTAACAGAGACCAGTCCCTCACAAGGAGAGGGTCAACCTCTGGGTCTGACCACAAAGTCACCAACCATTAAGTTGATTGAAAAACATCAAGAAACGAAGACCCTTTTCAAGAAGTTCGGGGAAATTAATTGGCCATTGGACATTCACCTTTTAAACAGAAGTTTAGTCAAAGACAACAAATGGAGGAGGGCTGAGGCAGCCCAAGAGAAACGCAAGTCTTTCCTTCGGGAGTTTTGCAAGAAATATGGTGGAGTGAGTCATGCTCAGTCACACCTTTTCCACATGGTATCCAGGATCTATGTGGAAGATAAACACAAAATCTTATATTGTGAAGTACCAAAGGCTGGCTGTTCCAACTGGAAAAGGATTCTCATGGTACTGAATGGACTGGCTCCTTCAGCATACAACATCTCCCATGATGCTGTTCACTATGGGAAGCATTTGAAAAAGCTGGACAGCTTTGACTTAAAAGGGATATATACTCGTCTGAATACCTACACCAAAGCTGTGTTTGTTCGTGATCCCATGGAAAGATTAGTGTCGGCATTTAGGGACAAATTTGAACACCCCAATAGTTATTACCATCCAGTATTTGGAAAAGCAATTATAAAGAAATATCGGCCAAATGCCTGTGAAAAAGTGTTAAATAATGGATCTGGAGTCAAATTCAAAGAGTTTGTTCACTACTTGCTCGATTCCCATCGTCCAGTAGGAATGGACATTCACTGGGAAAAGGTCAGCAAACTCTGCTATCCGTGTTTGATCAACTATGATTTTGTTGGAAAATTTGAAACTTTGGAAGAAGATGCCAATTACTTTTTACAGCTGATTGGTGCTCCAAAGGAGCTGAAATTTCCAAACTTTAAGGATAGACACTCCTCTGATGAAAGAACCAATGCTCAGGTCGTGAGACAGTATTTAAAGGACCTGACTAGAACTGAAAGACAATTAATCTATGACTTTTATTACTTGGACTATTTGATGTTTAATTATACAACTCCATTTTTGTAGTCTGCATTCATTTTCTGAAACACTGTATTTCCTTCATGATGATGGTCTTGAATCAGCTAACTGTAATTTTCCTATAATTCTCTGTATGAGAGAAATTTAACTAAATGCAGTCGTCTTGATTTAATGAAGACTTTTTCCAAATAGTATGACACCAATTGGCACAAAGTTATAGGAAAATTACCTAACATAGATATGTAAACAACTTGAGTTGCTCTAAAATGTTTGGAAAAGAGCTGCCTTTGCATTATGGATTATATTATAGAAGCAGTAATCTAGCCAGCTGCTGCAACAGCCTCCCACAATGACAGAAAAGGGGTCTAAAATAGCATAAGTGAATGTCTTCATCCTGAGATTTGTTGCATAAAGTGCATGGATATATTTTTAGTAGTCTGTGGCATATTAATCAAACATTGGATAGTTTTCTGACACCTTGAAAATCTTTCTATTAACTGCAATGATAAATCAATTTTGAAATAATATTTTGGACCTAGGCAATTTACTTTAGATTGGAAGGCATTATGTGATTTACAATATGAGAATATAGCAGTAAAACCAGCTGAGGCGATGGCTTTTTATATTCAACAGCCAATAAAAAATGCACGACATGCTAAGATCAAAGCAACAAAAACAACCTTCCTCTTCCAGGGGAACTTAAGGGAATTGATTCTGTTTTCTTTGAGTCTCTATGCAGAGACAAAGTGAACACAACCACTAAAGGTCTTTGCTTCTGAAGCAGGTGGTTGAGAAGTTTAAGCCTCATCAGATATAAATGTGCTCCTAATTCCAGTTTAATTGGGGGTGGGGGTGGGGAGGGGAATGTTTCAGGATGGAATAATCATCAAAAACAAACGTTGCCACTCTGAATATAGACCTCAAACAATAGCAAAGTTTTATAAAAATATTATTCGAATCAAAGCGTCATGTGCACAGCTCTATATGTGAAATGTGCTCTAAGACTAGCTTTTGTTTTCAGTCTAATTATTCAGCTTGGGAATGACTTCTTAAAAAATAATACACCACTTCAAAGATAGGTTCTGTTCTAGAGAATAAACATAACAAGAGCGCCTAGAAACATTTCTAATAGGCTTATCCGTAAACAAATTAAGGTATTTTTGTTTAAATATTCTGTACTAACAAAGTCAAATACCATTGCATTCAAATAGTACATCTAAGTCTTTGGAAAATAAGATCATGTGTCCCCACTGTAAAAAATTATCATGCATTTTAGAAATTTTTTCCAAGTGACCCTAAAGGAGAAGACGCATTTGGATAGGAAATTCATTTTAATTGGTCAGCCATTACCCTGCATTAGGCAATCCACCTGTCATTCAAATCTTGTTTAAATGCATTTTTTGAACACATTTCTTTTCCCAAACTATCATTTTTTGTCAGTAAATCTTCAGTAATGTCTTTTAAAAAAATGCGGGTATTAATATTTGAATATTAATAGACCAAGATAGTTCCAATTGTACTTATTTCATTTTGATTTTGTATATCATATCTAAGGACTCATGAATTGCTTTATGCTTTACACATGCATAGCCCACCTGTGTCTCCCATAGAGTGGGTAGTGGCAACTGGCTGCCAGACCATGAGTATTAAACCTTCTAAACTAACCTTTTACTAGCTTTTCGCTCCATTTCCTCTTGCCTCTAGACCACACTCTTAAACTGTGCTCTCTCTTTTTAAGGAGTTATACTCTAGAATAATCTAAGTCGTGTAATTTTAATTCTGCTATTATGCCATGTAGAGTGGATTCCTAATAACTTAGAGACGCGCCCTGGCCAGTTTGGCTTAGCGGTTAGAGCATCAGCCTGTGGTTCAGAGAGACCCTGGTTCGGTTCCCGCTAAGGGCATGTACCTCGTTTGCAGTTTGTCCCTGGCCCTGGTTGGGTCATGCGGGTGGCAACCACTCGATGTGTTCCTTTCACATTGATGTTTCTTTCTCTCTCTCTCTCTCCCTCCCTCCCTCCCTCCCACTCTATCTGAACAAAAAACGGAAAAATGTCCTCAGGTGAGGATAAAAAAAATAAAATAAAAAAATAACTTAGAGACACTGAAATTATCTTTTTATGGAGAAAGAGAGAGAGAATAGGAAATATGCTAAGAAGTCAGAACTTTTATTCTTAAACTACACAAAACTACTTTTAGATGGGATGTGCTTTAAAGGATAGAGGCAGTTTTCTCAAAAGTATTCCTAAATCATATAAGGAACAAACAAACACAAAAACTTTCTTTTCGCAATCAGAAAGAAAAAAATGGAAACAAGGGTCCTATCTCTCTTATTAACATTTGTCATGCACTTGAGGGATGGAGTGTGTGTGTGTGAGTGTGTGGGTGTATGATCACTGGCACTGCGGGTAGAAAAGAGGTGAGAGGAAGAAAATGGTGCACACACTTGTCAAAGCCATCTGATGCCTTTTGCTGAATCTGTTCTTTTCCAGACCCTCCCACCGAGCCTGTGTAATCATAGCCTGTGCTTCAGCCATTCTTTTCCTAAACAAACTCTCTCATGCCAGCTGACATCTTGTGTGGTTCTGAGTTCCAGAGGCCGTGTGTGTTTTTACAAAGGAAGAACACATTTTTTTATGTATATATTCTTCCTCTTACATGACTTCTTTTCATACTAGGGCCAAAGAAGTCAGACCTGGACTTCTTATGGTTGTAAATATCATTTATCTCTCCTGAATTATTCTAGTTTGCAGACAAGCTCATGACCACCTCAGCTACGTCTGCTTGTGTACAGACCCCAGGTGTGAGCATCACTGCTCCTTTGACCAGTCACAGTTTTGTGAAATTAGATTCATAAAGGCAAGTGACCAAGTCTAGACTCATCTTCCAGATGTCCCAGGTTCCCATTTTAACATTAGCATGCTGTAGGTATAATTATAAGACCTCTAATGCAACAATAAGGATGTTATTTGTCTTTCGACTCGGCAGTAACACCCTGACACCCTGAGTAAGCCCCTTTACTCTGTTATTCCCCTGCCTGGAATTACTATTAGAGTAATATGTTGGCAGTTAAATCCAAAACCACAGTTCTTTAACCTGGTAAACTACCTATTGATATGCATATTGATGTGATTGTGCTCAGAAGTGGCCATAAATTTCAATGAAAATGTATGTACAGGACACCCGACTTTCTGATTTTTCACATGTGTTTGAAACTATCCATTAAATCAATGGCAGTGCGAGGTCACTTGCAAGTTCTTTAACTTCATGGTCTATAACATATTATCTAGCAATTCAAGAACTAATTGAACACCAGTTATAATTAGAAAGAGGAAAAAAAGAACTCTTACATTTTGTTCACGAGTCATTGTTCTCCAAAAAGGTGTTATCTTCTAAAACATAATGTTTCGCTGGAGGGAATATATACACAGATGCAGAGAATTTTGAATATTAGAGTTCCCTTTGAAAAGATCACTTGCTGTGATAGTAGAACTTGGAATATGCTGGGCCACAGTAAACATCTGCCTAAGGTAAGTTCTCCTTTGGCTCCTTGGAGCATCTTGGCCTCCGGGCCTCAAGGAATATGGCATAGCAGACATTTTTCCCATGACTGACATCCCCAACATGCTCTAATATTTGAACAATGGTTGGCCAAAGGCTTTTAATAGTAGTTCAACTGCCTTAGATCAGGGCTAACTCAGTTTAGCCCTACCTTTAGGCCCTTTCTTCTTCAATCTCAATCGTAACCATTATAACATTTTATTATCCTAGTCATAACCAAACTCAATACCTTGTCTTACATGCATTAATTTATTTAATCTCTATAGTCAGTCTAAGTTAGGTACAACTGGGAGCACCCCCCGCACCACCACCACCACCACCACCAATATACAATAAAGGAAACGAAAGCAGAGTTTGGTTGAACCACTTGCCAAAAGAGACCCAGCTGATAACTGGGTAAGTAGGCAGGATGAATGCACGCAGCAAATACCAACACCAACTCTCAGATTACTATGAATTTATATTTTTTCTTTCGCTTTCTTTCATCTAGATTCAGAACAGCTAAAGGCAAGAAATACATTTGGCATCTTGAAACTTTTTAAATAAAAATGTGGATATATACGCATGAGCATGTGTTTAGCTAGCTAGTTACTACAATTAAAATCAGCTTATCCCTCTATTTCTGCTGAGTTAAACTGACAGAGTCAAAGATTTTGTGAGAAATTAGGCTTCCTCCCCACTCCTTTCTTTTATTTTAATTTTTTTTTAATTCCCCCATCGATCATGAGACTCAGTGTTTTTAAAAAGAGGGGGAAAGTCCCTGGAATTAAGTTAGCCTAATGAAAACAAAATATCATTTTGACAAGAAAGTCCAGACACCTACGGGAGTGGGCAAGGTCAAGGGGGATACAGTCCAAGGGAGACAGAGGCCATGCCCGTTTTCCCCATCTGATGGCCACTGAAGACGGGCAAGGCTCAGCAAGCCAGCCAAAGTGAAAGCTACACACCTACTGTTGGAAACTAAGCAACTGTGCATGGCCTCTTTCTCCTGAGTTCCCCCCCTAGTCACAAGGCAGTCACAAGTTAGCTAACCTGAAACTGACTCAGGGAAATTATAGAAAAGAATAGAGGAGCAGATCAACTTAAACCAACTGAAAAACACCACGAGAAAAGTCAAGTTCGGTTAGAGCGCACCTAGAAGAGGGCACTTTTCCTAAGCCTGGGGGCACCCTACCTGAGGGAGGCAAGTCTGAGTTCAACAGAAGGGTGTTGCCTCACATCATTTAGTTTTCAGAATTGCCTACTCACTCATACTTAATTCTTCACTAAAATAAGATCCTTCCAGGCAAATATATTCAAATCCACGTAAGCAATCATTTTTCCCCATCTCTAAGCCTCCGCTCAAGTTGTACACTGTTGAAATACTCTCCTCTCCCTCTATCTGGATATTCATTCATGTTTCACCAAAAAATCTCTTTAGATTATTCAGTTTTGAAATCTTACGCTTCGTGAGCTCTCTGATCAATAAAAAAAAGACAAAATTATTTTCCTCTGCTGTGACATGCATCAGATTCTTCTCTTACCGATAGGTGCAGGCATTCCTTCCCTTACTCTTTTTTCTTCATTCATTTGTTTGTTTGTTATATCTCTCTTCATAGGAGTATAAAATCTCTGTTGTCATTGGAGTACTTCTTAGGTCTTCCAAGAGGAAAGGATCTGTGTCTGTTTCATTCATTTTGCACCGTTTCTAGCAAAGCACAGCATGGAAAGCTACTTTAATAAATGTTTTTGCTGATGTAGTTTAAAGGTTCTTCTACAGCTTCTCTTAGTGTATAATGTATGTGTTTCTGCCTTGTGACTGTCAGAACTCTATGGGACCAGTGTGTCTAAAGAGAAGGCACTGGAGCGGGGCAATTGACCAAAGTGATCTAAACAACATGCCTTTCCTAGTAGTCACACCTTAACCTAAAGTATAGCTGTGGACACAGTAATCTTTAACATGTCTAATATGATGTATTTG